ATAAATATTTTCAAAATAAACATTTTATATACATTCTCCACGATACGAGAATCATTAAAAAATTTCCGTACTTAGGCATTTTCAAAATATTTTCAAACATACACAAACACAAAACATTTCAAAACAAGTGAGCTAGCGATTAAGAGCCTGTAGATAACTACGGATGAAAAGGGTGCTAACACCTTTCCCTTTTCATAACCTACCCCTCTTACTCAGAAAATTCTCAAAAGGTCTTTCATGTTCTTTTCACTCTTTCCTTTATTGGATAAAAGAAAAGTCGATGGCGACTCTTACTATCCGCAACATTTACGATAAAACGCAAAACCAAAAGTCAATTCTCCCACTGTATTACAGATGTATGTGAGTTACTATGGATGATGTCTTCAGTACCATAGTAAATAACATAGAGTGACATCTGAATTGATTACTTCTCCAGAAAAGGAAGTGGGCTTGAAGTTCATGGTGTGTCTGAACATGAAGGATTATAAAGTCAAGCCACAATTAGTTTGTGGAGTGAATTTCTACCATAACCATTTGAATCCACAAGTGCTCACAGTCTGCAGAAGAAGAATTCCATATCAAATGGTCTGCCATGCATAAGGAGGTAGTCTTAATTGTTGATCATACATTTAAAAGAAACTGTGAAGGTGGGAACATGAAGAAATGTGCCTCAAATGAAAGTGTGCATACAATTATTGGGAAATGCTTTGATGGGAGCAATGTGTTTTCCTGATGTGTTGATGCAAATCTACAATTTGAATACCTTATTTCAGAAAGAGTATGTGAGGTCATCTCTCTTCATGGTTATGTGGTGTGCATTAGCTGGTAAGGTTGTGTTCTCTTGAGATTCATTTGATTGGTGTCTACAACAAGAAGCTGATGTTCCAAACGATGTTGTAACATCATGCTTGTTGATGATTATCTTTGGGAGATGATTGGGATGATTAATACAGAACTTGATGATCAAAGTCATGTTCAGAAGTGACCTTTCCAATTGTAGTATGTAAAGGTTCTGACCATATCTACAATGAGGTATACGGTAAATTCATGTCTTCCATCATGATGAAGAATTCACTTGTATCAGAAGTCGTCAGTAGGTACAAGGGAACTATTTATGGATGGTGTAATCAAGCACATGTCAAAAGAAGTATGCAAGTTTATTTCTTTCAGGGGTATTATGTCTTTTGGAAGGCAAAATTGTTGAAGACTATGTTGTTGCACTTATGAAATCATTATGGAGAACTTATAAGCAAACTTTGATGTCCTATATGATGTTGCAACATCATTTGTTTTCTTGGATTCCGAGTGTTATGATTGATACTCGTCGTTTGATTTGGAGAAGTCTTCATTTGAGGATGTTGTGGATGGTAATGAGACTGGGTTGACATTAGACCTAGTGCATTGTCTCATGCTGGTTGGGAAGTGGTTCATTATGCTACAAGTTACTCTAGAAAGAATGGATGAATTTTAATCTTGTCAAGCAAGTAAAAGAGACCAGTCATCCTAGAAAATATTATTGATGTCTTTGATATGTCCTAGGAGTCTGGATGTATTTTCAAGGAGCATAGTTGCATGAGAATGTCTTCAACAGTCGTTTTTGAACAAGGAATGTGAAGCATTGTGAATCTCACTTTATGAACACAAGGATGAGTCTTATATTTTTGTTCATTGTCTTTGATGCTCATGTCAAAGGAATATTGATCACCTATGACAGGAGGAGTTGGTCTTCTATCTGGGATGTAGTTCTGAAGAAGTACAGTCTTCACATAGATTGCTTAAAGGCCAAACAAGCTATGTCAAAGTTCCTTTGTGAGGATGTGATGTCAGGAGAGATGTCTAGACATTATGTTACTAGAAGAAGTCATGATAAACGTGGCAGTGTGAGCTTGATTATGTCGATTGGGGAATCAGTGGATTGAGTCAAAACATGTTCATAGGAGTGATATGAGACTCAGTGTCTTTGAAAATTTATTCTTCTCTGCAGAATTGAAGTTAGTATCAATAAAAGTTTTTTGTTGATAAGTAGAATATGTTGTTCTCAAGTCTCTCTAATTTAGTGGAAGGATTTGTGTTTATGCTCCAAAACGTGAATGTCTATGAGTTCCTCTTATAAGAATCTTATAAAATCTCTTTATGGATCTAGTTTGAGAGATTATCAACCTTATACTGAAAAAGGTGGTGATTCTTTTGAGGAAAAGAGATAGAAGACAATGTCTGAGTGGTTGTCGGGATTTTGTTTACGATATGTGTCTATGAAGATCAATAAGTGGTGATTATGGATGGTGACTCTAAATATGTGTCAGAATGGTGTGAGAAATTCATCTTTGACCATGCATGCTCATTCATTGGAACTTTAATTTCTAGGAGAAATAGTCCAGAATAACTAAAGGCATGTCTTGTTAATGGTGCTCACTTAAGAAGAAACGGTCAACACTGTCGTTGGATGGTGCACATTTATGTATGCTATTGCTTTTATTGACTTAGAGCTTTATTACAACTTAAGAGAGTTACTTCCTAAGTTTCTGCTCGAGTATAAAAAGAGGTTTATTTCATTTTCTCCTTCAAGTTATGTCTTACTAGGTTGTGATCTTATGGGTTTTGTTCATATTTGGGTGAGTACAATATGGGTATGAAACTAGTTAGGGTATATTTGTTAAGTTTTGGCTAAAAAGGGGGAGAAAAGTATTGATCACCATTTGGGTGTTGAGTCTGTCTCTGCAGTTATTTTGCAAAGATGTTTAACAGGATGTTCTAACACCATGTATGAGTCGAGTCTCAGAATCAGGTTCTTTTTGTGTCTTGTGATCTGAGTTATGAACACAGTTGTGTCATATGTTATGAGTTATCTGGGTTGGTGTTTGGTTGCTGAGAGTAAAGTTCTTGGTTCTTCTTAAGGGTTCTCTTATGCCACCAGAGAGGAAGAGTTATCACTTTGTGATAAGAATCGGTTCCTGAATTAAGGGGGAGTAACTGGATAATCTGGTGTGTGTGTTCTGGTTATCTTTTTCCTCATGTACGGGAAGAGTACAAGGTTCTTCCGACTATAATGACTTCAGGACTTTTGTTCCTGGATTTATTGTGCAAAAGGAGATTTGACCAAATGTTCCTGGATTTATTTGTACAAAAGGTATTTTAGCTAAAATTTACCAAATTTTTAGAGCTCAAATCTTTGGAACTTTCAACAAGTATCAAAAGATACAAGGGTGACTTGCAAACACAAAAACACAAGAGACTCTCAAAACCTAAGACTTAGACTTCCCCTAATTTTACAATTGTGAAAGTTAAATTACATTTGGTTAGGTCTTCTCTTTAAATACACCTCAGTGGTCCATGGACTTCGAAATCTTCACCCGAATATTTCTTGATCCACAAGCTGAGAGTTGCACTAATGATGCAGAAAAATCTCCTTAAATCTTAAAACAAATCTTTTAAGATTTCTAAATTGTCTCAACAATCAAATTTAGAAACTTTAAATAGTCTGTAATATATCCAAAAGACATATTACAAAATCAAATCAAATATGTCAAGATTTAAATAGTCTGTACTGATATTCTATTTCAGAATGTTACGACATCTGACAGAACATCTGATCTTTAATGTAAGCTCATACTCTGTTGTATCAGCTTGATCAAGATGTTATGACCTCTTACTTAACATCTTTCAGGAACCATGTTTTAGCAAAATCACTGTTAATCCTTAAATCATAGATCTAACACTTATTAATTATGTTAGTTAATTTTGTTATTACTTATTTATGCAATGTAAAGTTCTCATAGAACAATTTTTATTCGATCGTGAAATTGAACGAACCACATGCAGAAACAATAGTAAAAACAAAAATAAAAAGTTACAAGAGATAAAACAAGCTCTAGAAGAATTATTATTTGGCTTAGATTATACCACTGTAACAAAGGGGTATGCAATGCATATAATTTGACAAAGATAATATAAAGATGACTATAATTAAAAACTATTGATTAAATATGATCATACACTTTTTGAAACTTTTATCTATCCTTACTTGATAATCATGTCTAACCACTATAATTGAATCTGTAATATCACGATGAACTAACAAAATACATGCGCTTCATATCTTGACCCAAAACTAGTTTCTTCGATCACAACCTTCTAATGTCTTATGTGAATTCGTAATTGAAGAAGATTTTACTGCACGTTAGTTCATATTATCACAAATCAAGTGACACCCTATATCTAGAACTGCAAGATGTAGAATAATAAAGTTAGGTTGAGTTGTAAACTAAAGGTTAGTAAAGTAATTACTTGATTGAGCATGAAACTGGTGACACCAAAGAGATAAGGTAAGTTTAAGGTTTTATGAACAAAATTATAATAGTACAGTAATAATTAAATGAAATATAAACACCATTGTACATTACCAATCAAGAAAAGTAAATCAAGACCCTCAATTGCGACATATCCTAGCTGTTGGGTTAGTGACACAAACAGGGGCATACTTTTTCTTGGCTTCTGGAGTACCTCTTTTAGGTTCATCTTCATCTGCCATTGCAACACCAGCAACAGAACAAACAGCAGCTGCTGCTGCAGCAAACATCAACTCTCTCCTTCCATTGCTTCCCTCCTTGTTGATGTCATATCTGACCATCTTCTCCCCTTCAACAGCCCTGACAGCGTTGATAACGAATCTTCTCTGTGTTGCTATGGCTGACCGGTTGGTTACGGCCGGAAAACCATGGATTGAGGCTGTCATGGTGATAGATGCCATTTCTACAATTTGATCCTCTATGGTGCATGTGGTTGGATGGAAGAATGTATTTAAGGAATCTAAAACATACAAAATAGGACTTCTTGTGATGGGACCATGCAATATCTTATCTCATTAATAAAATGACCAATAAGTTGTTGCCACATTGAATAGTTGATAATAGTGGAACCAATATCTTATCTAATTTGTTTTAATTTAACCTTTCTACATAGAATGAATTACATTTTTTAAGTCATTTGCATAAAACAGATAACTAATGCATGTAAACAGAATCCTCATCTCTTGTTCTGTATGGAAGAGGCAATAAACTGTCAATGTTAGCAAAAAGATCTTCACGCCCAGGCGGTGATTTCGCAAACGAAGAGTCCAAAACCGAGTCTGGAATTGCTACCATAGTTTCTTCAAGAAATGATTTTACTGTCTGCAAGATTAAAAAATTTGTTAAGTTTTTGAAGCACCTAATAAAGTAACTGAAGCATAAAAAAATAGCTTCAAACGGGAATAACGGTATCTGCATGCCATAAAACTCGCCTAACTAACCATGTAACTTTATAATAAGCACCTTGTATAGAAAAGAGAAAATAAGTAACAATAACAGTACACATCCGTGATTCTTAATTTTGCATAATATTGACGACACGATACTTCATTGTGTTTCATATTGGTGCCAGATAACCAAAGTAAATGTGAAGGAACTAAGCGTGGTCATTTTGAAAATGTCATGGATAAAAAATGGACAAAATTCAGGGAAATTACAGAAATTTAAAGCATACAGGGTAAGATAAGTTTGTTTATCTGGATGTTAGACGACTTCATCTAATCAATGTGATATAAGTAAAATACTATACACCATAGTAATCAAATAATTAGATTTTTCATAGTAAATCTACCGTGCAAGTTTGGAAAGCAGAATCGGCTTTGCGCTTCCAAAGTCCATTCCCGGGCTCAGAATGGAAAAAACCAAGTAAAGGCTGCAGCAAAGTAAACAATGGTCATGTGATAACAGAGAGTATCATTGATATATTTATCACATGCTTTGTGCAAATAAAGGGAGGGGAAAAAGTGGGAAAAATTTGGGTACATACTCAGACTTTTAACCCAAAATATAAAACAGGAAACCATAGTTGAACCACTGTAGGAAAACAATAGAAGGAAAAAAAAGGGTGGGTATAACTGCTTAAAGTGACATTATATGTATGTGTGAAACATTATAGCTTTATGCCACTATTTTCTACATCAGTGCTATGAGAAATAATGTAACTAGGATAACTAGACTGCTTCTGGGTTGTAAATTACTCTTCCATTTCAAAATGAATGTCGTTTAAGGTTTTTCCACACAATTTAAGAAATACAATAATATTGACATAAGACATTACGCTTTTACTAAATTAACCTTATTAATGTATTGAAATTTAGAAGTAATGTACAGAGTAATAATTATAAGACACAATTGAAAAAATTATAAGACACAATTGAAAAAATTACTATTATTTTTACATTGAAAAGTGAGAATGACATTCATTTTGAAACAAATTTACTTGCTAAAACAACAGTCATTTTGAAAAGGAGGGAGTATTATGAATTGCAGAAATTCCGGTAATCCATGCACTCATATATGTAACAGCCTCGTGAGTAGGGTAAACACATAAATTCATCATATGCATTCTCGATTTTATCTTTCTCAAATATGGTATCTAGAACCTAACAGAAGGCAAACCCTAATACATGGTTTAGTGTTAATGTTATAACTAAGTAGGAGACTGTATCTGCCTTCAACACAACAACATACCTTACAATGTTCTTATTTCTGACTGCGGAAGGCGAGTTTTTCTTTTACCACAGTGCTATGCAGAAAAACAAGCTCTTGAAGAAGTGAGTACAGAGCCACAGTTAGTCCGACCGTGTGGGAAATCAGCGGCCACATGGTGTTAAAGAGGAAGAAGGACTTTGATGAGGCTTCTGAAGCCAATGCTTGGAGGCTTCTTGCTGAGGTTTCTCTCTCTGAAGCAAGGTTTAAAGAAGTCAATGATCTTATATTTCAAGCCATTGCATCTGATGAAATTGAAGTCACGCTCTCGCCTCAACGCGTAGAGAAAGCAGATGCATTAAGCTCAAGCACTACTCAGCCTTCTATGGTGGCTGGTTCACATGAATGCCTTGTTCTTCAGTAACAAAAACAAGGCTATGGTGAATATTCTCAGTCATTTTAATGTACTGTTCTTTCTGCTATGAATTTCTAAGTTTGAAGTTGAAGTGTTATAATTGCTTCCAAACTTGATAAAATAAGATGCTTGTGTGAAAGTTCTTCTCACGGTCTTTTGAAAATAACGATACAATCAATCAAGGTTTTAAAAAATAATAATAATCAAAAAAATCTAGGATGGATTAGTATTATTTACTCCTTATAAAAATACAAAAAAAAACATATTAATATAATTTAGTCTCTTTGTTTTAATTATTTTTAAATTGTTAATTATTTAATTGCTATTCTATTTAATTTTCTTTTTGATCATTTAGTCTTTATACTTTCGTTTGTCTACTTCAAGGGAAATGATCAAATTTGTTGACTTCGAATATATCTAATATGATTATGTGAAACCCCTTTCATACATTTTAGTTTTGTTAATCTTAAGTTAAATCTCCTGAAAAATTCAATTTTTAAAGTCACACTCATTTAGCAAGCAAACCAATTTTAACTAAAAAAATAGATATTTCAAAAAGTTCATATAAGATAGTATAAATACATAGGGTACTAGTACCTTCTCTTTGTATAACCAACTCACTAACCTTCGATCTCTTTCAAATGCATTATATTTTTCTTTACTTTTAGTATTGCACTTACTTTGCATATTTATGGGTTTTATTTCGCACTTTTCCCTTTTCCCTTGGAAATAATAAAGCGCGTGAGACTCTTGCTTTTGCGAGTCAAGTTAATCAATAGATTGATCTCCGATTTTCACCGCTAGAGAGTTGGCGACTCTGCTGGAGATTACACAAGATCTCTAAGTGGGTTAAGCCTAACTTGTTATATCTGTGTTTGTGTTATTATGACTTGTTTGCTGCTTTATGTGGATTTGCTTGATTTTTGGGTATTTGGTGATCTCTTATAAGTCCTATACCCGAACTTTGACAAACTTAAGATTAGGACGGGTGGTATAGTCATGTTAACTTTGAGGGAGTAATCCCGAAAAATGAGACATGAAATCCCCCACTCATTAGAGGCCTCTTTGATTGTAATATTTGTTTACCAAGTAATCGGGAAGACGTTGTTGCTTTTTAGGTGTAGTGCAGAGATTATAACGGAGTAATCCAGAAGTAGTTGTCACGCGATGCTGCTGCACTCAGACGGGTTTTTCTTGAGAACATTGTTAATTACCGAGTAATCGGGAAAGTTGGTAATATCTGAAAGAAGAATGTGGACTCTGAGTATCTTTAGAACCTTGTTCTACATGTACAAATAAATCCTTAGTACATACCTTGTGGGTTGGTTCTCACCCTTGGACTCCATGCTCGTGACGTCGAACCTTTGAACCTTGTTTGTGATCGTTGCATAACCATACATTCATGCATCCATGAAACTCTTTTTCACTTGATTTTCAAGGAATTTAGGGGTCTTTCTTTATAAACATCATAAATTTCATCAAATTCAATGGATCCTGGGTGTTGATGGGGTGAAAATCCTAATCCACCAAAATGGATGATTGACTTTGATGATGACTTGATCAATGTTTTGATCCAATTTAGAATTCACTTTCTTTATGGTTTGATGTTTACAATTTAATATCTTAAGTTCCTTGAAAGTCAAATAAAAACCAACATTTTTATATTTTGCATAATTCATGCATACATCTAGGTTGTCCAAGAAATTCATTCCAATTGTCTCCTTCAGTTGTTCGTTTACCGTCAAACTTGTTCCTCAACACTTTGGACTGGAAGGATGTTTCAAAAAACTATGGAAGAACTTCAACGAGACCAAGAGCTGTTAGGGGGAGGTCAACCGTTTAAAGTGTCAGATGGACCAGATTATGGGGATCCTGCAAGTCTTGTTGAAAAAAGAAGGCAACCCTCCACCAACCGCAACAATGCAAGTGGATACTTTTCCAACCTCATCCATTGTTCCTTCAACTCAGGGGAAACACCATTCATTGATTACTCATGTATTGATACATCTGTCCCCAAAGGATCTTCCTCAACCTGTGTTTGCAAAGTTTACTAGACCACATACCTCATCTATCCTTCAGCAACATGTCTAGATCCCTGAGCTAGTTAATGACAAAAACAAGGTGGTCAGTGATACTATTGAATCGGTTCAGAAGAGTCCAGTGTTCATCTCAAAGTTAGGCAAAAGAATAGATGATAAAGCAGTAATGAAATCCTCGAGAGGAAAGAATATTCCAAGTACTTACACGGGGCAGCCACTTGATATGCTTCCCAAGGCTTTACATCAACAACCACTATTTGTTTCTCCTCAAAACAACCTGAATCAGATTCGTAACAGGGGTCACTTTGATCCTATTCCTATGACATATATTGAACTGTATTCTGCGTTGGTCCAGAAAGGCTTGATCACAACTAGGGCCCTGCCTCCTCCTCTATATCCTTTTCCAACAGGATTCCAGTCCGATCTTCACTGTGAGTTTCATCAAGGTGGTGCAGGCCATAATTTAAAAAATTGCTATACATTGAAGGCCAGGGTACAAGATTTGGTGAAGGCAAAGATTCTTCTAACTTTCAAAGACACAAATCCCAATGTTGTCAACAACCCTTTGTCAAGATATGCTAAGTGAAGCTTCAGTTGGTTTAAGCCGGTTTCCCCTCAGCAAGTGTTTCAAAAAGGATAGCTCATCCTACTTTTGATTATGCATTAGACTTTGTTTCATTTCTGTTTGTACTTTCCATTTAATTATGTTGAACTGTTTGCCTTCTAAATTTATATGTTCTTTGTTTTGTCCATTTAAATGAAATGAGCATTTTACATCTTTGAATCAATTTATGGTTTCAATTACGGCCTTTGTATACCTCTGGTTTTACTTTCTTTATTTAACTTTTGTTTATACAAAGATTGGAGGGAGGATGATGAAAACTAAGTACTCATAACTATTGTTGGTATGCTTTCAATTGAAACTTTGTTAATGATGTAAGGTATTGTTTCAATTTCCAAACACTGGAGAAATAAGAAAATTAGTCCCTTGTCAACCCTTTGAGCCTAAAAGTTGGAGTTTCTTTCTGTACAAAAACCCATAATCTTAACCCGGACAGGGTAGTTCTCAGTTAACTTGATTGTACATTCAAATACAAAAGAAATCATGCAAGATACATTTCAATAAATGTTGCAATCACAAGCCTTTCTTCCCACACATCAAAGAAGTGTCGAAGATGTCTCAAATTAAAACACAATGACGGTTCACCGTAATCATTAAGTCAGGCGGTTCACCGTAATGAAAAGATGATAATTACCTACTATTTTTTTATTATTTTTTAAATATAAAAGAGATCATAAATAAAACACAATCGAAATCAAATTTCATTGAATTCATAAAACGACTTCTAACGTCTCTATTTTTCGTGACTTTTCAAACATAATCAACTTTTGACTTGTAAAGAAAAATTGTAGATGACGTCAAGGAAAATCATATGCAAAAACAACCGCTAAAAAATGCCGAAATTTGAAGAAGTTATGAATTTTTGAAATCTGATTCGAGAATTGACAAAAATAGGTCGAATCGCTTGTGGACACTTGCTATGTAATGATGCTGATGGGAGGTGGTATCTTAAGTCAAAAATTAGGGTATGACAGAGACTTGTTATTTACACAGCCAAGATCCTTTATACCAATGATACTCAGTGCTTATATGGACTTTTCCAGTTTTTTAAGGCCACCTATCACATCACCGGTAATAAATCCCTTTTCCTTCACTGATGGCTTTTTGATCAAAGATTGATCTGAATTGTTTGAAATATTTCAGAACTTATATTCAAAGATTTCTACCCAAATTGGTTGTTCAATTCAAGGCTGTCAACATCGGGATCTTACATGAATTGGGAGGCGATAGCAACATCGTAAAGCATAAGATTGTAACTAAGATCGGAGGATTCTACCCAATTATTTTTGGATTAGCTTTTGAGAAAATCATATTAATGAAAAATTATTTAAAAATGCAAAGTGTGGGAATTTCCGCCTTCATTGTCGTCCGCCCCTAGTCGCCTAAATTGGGGTATTTGGCTTGCCTTCATTGCAACCTCCAACACCTTCATTAGATTGAGTTTGAAGGGGTGGATTTAATCCCACATTGTTTAGAGATATGACGTGTGTTGTATTTATAAGTCAGGACAATCATCACCTTACAAGCCGTTTTTGTAGGAATGAGTTAGACTTAACCCAAATTCTAAGTTTTAACTTGAATGCTTTTTCAACCATGGTTTATAATATTTTTAAAAGTCTAAAGAAGAACTGCTAAGTTATTTACACCAAAAATGATTTTTACAGAATCTAACATAAACGGGCTCACCACTCGTGAATTAAATGTATTTTCTTTGGATATTCTAGAATGCCGATTTGGCCCATACCATGTAGATGTTTTGCTTAAATTTAAGGCCCGGGGAGTATATAAAATATAAATAGACGTCTTGCTGAGTGTGTTACTTAATCAGCATTCAGAAATCTCTATCATGTTTTCTTCTCCAGTTCTCATGTGCTCTATCTTCTTATGTTACTCATCTGCTCTATCTTCTCAAGTTATTGCTTTGTTGAATAGTAGAAATTCTAAGAGTATGAAATTTGAAAACAAAACAACAAGTTCTATTTGTCTGTTCGTACCTTCACAATGTCTCGCACAGTTGGCCGAAATCCATATTGTAGTAACACTGAGTCTCCGTAAACTTGGTATTTCTCCAAGACCTTAATAAAATAAATAAGAATAATAATGATTAGCAAATTCTAAGTAATAACAAAAGTGAACTAAGAAATTTGTGCAACTTAGTCCACTCAAATTTAAATAGTATGTGCTTGAACCTGACGACGTGTAAGACCAATATTTGGTACACCATAAATTCCAGTATCAACGTTTCCCAAAATATGCCAAGGGCTGTTGAAATTAAAACAATGGTTATGTGAGCTACCAAGTATCAGTTTATATAAATCATACTACAAATGTTCATTATCAATGAAAACATTAGTAGAGAGGCCAAATCATTTATGAACTTCAACCTAACAATTTAAGGTTTTAGAAAATAGGACATTTGGTTCTTGACATGCTAACAGAACCACAGCGACTAATTAGTCAACAGTTGTATCCTCGTCAGTCCTCATTTTCAAATCTAGGCACAAAATACTGTACACACGTGTACTTCGACTAACCCTCAAACCCAAAGGAAATTCAAAAATGCAAGAAAAGAATTTTTAATCCATAATTAAAGATATATAGCACATATGTCAAGATTGAATAGTTATGATTGCTTGATTATTTTTGCCTTTTATTTCTTGATATGTTTCCAGAGACTTAAGCAGTTTCAGGATATTAGTGGAAAAGTTAAATTATACCACCATGACCAAACCAGTTTAGATTATGATTGCACACGCATTCCTATTTTTTAACTGGTGACGGAGTTGGAGATACTTGTGGGGATTATCTGTTCGGAAAACCAAAGTTGGGGAATTTTTCCCCCGTGGGGACGGAGTTGGAGAAAAAAGTTCCTCCGATGACACTTTGGGGTGGGGATTGGTAAAGTATTCTCCCCGCGGATTCCCCGACTCCGACCATATTATTTAACTTTTGTATTTTATATATTATATAATATATATTAATGTATTAGAAAATGAATAGTCATTAGTGAATCATTTTATTTTTATGTTTTATCGTATAATGTATTATTTCACCACTCAAGTATCCAACTTTAGAAAAGTGCATCCAATACATAGAATGTATACATCGTCTCTTTTTCTTTTCACAATTATCTTTGTCTCCTCTATTCATCATCTCATATGTTCTCATCATCATCACAACAACCACTCTCCTTTGTTTATTGTGCTTATGGTAATTACTCTTCAAATTCACTTTACTTCCATTAGTAACATGTTTTTCATTCAATTAATAAATTAGTAGTTATGAATTTGCCACACTAACACATAATCAACCACTCGACGACAGTGGTACTATGGTAGTAAATTAGCGGAACATGATAGCAACAAGTTCTGTTAATATTTTTTTTTATAGAAAAAATACTAGCAACAAGTGATTTTTTTTTATTATTGATGAAAGATGTATTTTTATTTTTTTTAAAAGAAATATGTAAAATATATGTGTTCTTTTTTAAAGAAAAAAAATAACGAAATACTAGTGTTAATAGTTTTGATCGAAAAGTATAGAGATTTTCTTAAGATTCGATCTCCGTGGGAATGGGAATGGGGGAAATATTCACCCATGGCAGGGAATAGGAATGGGGATGGAAAATAAATTTGGGGACGGACCAGGGAGCGGAGAGGCATCCTCCGAACATTCCCTGCCCCGTTGACATCCCTAGTGAGAAGTGATAGTATAGTTCAGTTTGCTCTTGAAAATAACAGTAAGTAACAATACGTATTCATTTTTTTTAACTCAATGTAATTTTGAAATTTGAAAAGCTTCTGTTCTCAGAATCTGAAAATTTTCAGTCAGACTAAAAAAAATATAGAAAAATTCCAGAAAGTATATTGGGTGAAATTGACTCCCAGTTCATATCCAACTTCCAATCTAAAAGTTGTTCATCGTATAGAAATATTACCAGTCAGACTAAAAAATAAAGGAGAATTCCAGAAAATATATTAGGGGAAAATTGACCTCCAGTTCTTGTCCAACTTTCAATTTAGAAGTTGTTCATGTAGAAAAAAATCAGTCAGGTTAAAAAAAAAGGAAAATTTCAGAAAATGTTTTAGGAGAAAATTGAATTCCAATTTGTCTCCAACTTCAAATTTAAAATAGACATTTTGATAAGAAGTCATTCCTGTCCAGAAATGGGAGACAGTTTTATTAGTGAGAAACAAGAAAAGATTAGAAAGTTCCCAGCTATAGAGAACCTCTACTTGCCAAAGCAATAAGCTCAGAGAAAAGGCGGAAGAAAATAGCATAATCTCTTAACCTAAACCAAAGCTTGCCTTCTCCGTCAGACTCTCCTTCTCTCTCTTCTAACCCCCTTACGTCCTATCTTTCTTAAATAAATCACATTCTTCTCTCCAGTCTTAGCACTATGAGAATACAGTTTTAGGGCCTTCGTTTTAGGCTTTAGCTAATTGTGATTAGTCAATCCCATTACATTTTACAATTTTTTCAATCACTTGGTCATTTATGAGGATTAGAATGGAAAAACTTGTTTATTGAAATGCAGATTCCTGATGTTTGAAAGCATTTGACACTTACTTGTGGTAGGCAGCACGTCCAACCATAACACCGTGAGCGCCAATCTTTAGAGCTGCATTGGTCTACAATCAAAATCCACGTGTAAGGATATCACCAAGGAAGCATCGAATCAATGTGTAAGGATATAATACAACAAATGACAAATACAATAATACGATAACAAAGAATTGATTTGATACTTAACAGCACAAACAACAAAAGTATGAGCAAAACTATCAAGCCCTTCACTGGAATTTTGAGGGCAAAACAGTGCAGCCCAATCTAATGAAGAAGCCAAATGATACCTTAAATGTTATTGCGACATAATATCAAAAACTATATGATCAAATGTCTAGACATTGATTCTTGTCTTTTCAGTTGTCCAAATAAAAAGTTCAATCTGGTCATATGGTGGGTGTGAACCTGTTAATGTCCACACTTCAAGTCTAAAGTGACTATTGCATAAGAAGGCATGTTAGAGATACAACATAAAACCTTTCATGTGTCTTCACCTAATAGCGAAAGCTCTTAGCATAGATGGATCATGATACTGATAGAAACCAACTGATAGAAACCAACTGATATAGAATAAGAAATGGGAAAATACCTTTGAATTACAAAATGATATTGCAGAACTTCGAGGGTCTGCACCTCCCTAATGCCTAATTGGCCCTTTTTCCTATCCAAATCCAAGATAATCATCTACCCATTGTCTGCCCCTATTTATTCTAAACTTAAACACTCTGAATTAATAATATAATAATTATAATAATTACCCATAATTAAATAACAGTTACAAAATTGAAGAGTCTAACAGATATTAACGAATATTCATTTTGTATAGTGACTCATTTGTTAAATTTGAAAAAGATGTTGTATAATGGTTCCAAAATGGCTTCTTAATGATAATGGCTTACCACAAATGAAACTCAAGGTATGGTACTGATTTACCCAAGACAACGAAATTTATTGAGAAAACTCTGGCCAAAAAGAAATAGTTTTAATCATGCATTCACCATATTCAGTAAATATAAGGGCCTCAATCAATTAGTAGTCCAATGCTTTATCTGTGAACAAACACGTAGAATCATGTATGCTGTCTTAATTAGAATCTAAACCAAGGATTTACCAAATTAGTTTATTGATCTCCAAAAACTCCCAGGAATAAGTTATGGAGTTGCTCCTATTCCATGAAATGGAGAAAATGTCCAGTTTTATTGTTGACTGAACCAAAAACACTGATCCATCAACTAGGACTGTACTTGGCAAACACCCAGTAAAAAATGGAAAAATCTATTCAATCTCAACCAAGCACTCCCAATCAAAAGATGAAAATTTTTCTAATCAAATGAAAAATGGAAAAATAACAGAAAAAATCAAAGCTTTTAGTTGCCAAAGCAACATAGTTAAAACTTCACATCTCTAGATGTACCACCCGGACACAAACCAAACCGAAAACAGAGAGTTCTATATGAAGATGCATGATAAACCAATATAGTCAATTCATTTTTAAAAACCAACACAGTCTGTACAAACAAACAACTCAGTGACAAAACAGAATGACGATTAAAACACTGAAATGGGTTTATTGCACATATAAGTAGGGAACATTTCAATAAAGCACAAACACGCCATTTTGTGTTGTGCCTTCATGTCAAACACGGTTACACATGTCTGGCTCACCTCTTCCTCCCACTGTGTGTGTGCGCGCGTGTTACAATTTCTAGAATGTGGTGTATCCCTATGCTAGTATGATTACAAAATCACAGTAAAAACTTTTAGTGGCAAATATTTTCTATAATGAATACCAAGTCCTCAATAACACAGAATGATCATTGTGACTGTGATAGACTTCTTCTTAGAGAACAATATACGAGGAGAGGGTATAAATTAATTGACAGTTATAGGCAGTTATGTGGTTTAATTTTAGGAATAAAGAAAGGAAAGAAGAAAGTGACTATTGGATAGTTATTGAGTGGTTATGGGAGGGAGACACCAAGCTATCTAATTCTTGGAAGGGAGAGACCAAGATTCTCAAATTGCTTGGAAAGGAACTTTCTTGGTAACATTATACCATCTCTTTCCCTATATGTTATTTCCTAATTTGTTGTATTGTAAAAGAACTCATCCCCTGTTCTGAGATAACATCCCAGAGATTGTTATAAAAAATTGTTGTTTCTACTAATTTTATAACTATAGATACCAGACTACGAGTTACTATCAGATTGCAACTCACCTCTTCAATACTAGTAATGCCACCATTGATTGTAAATGTTAAGTCGGGAAAGTCGCGCAAGAGGCCATAAAAGTATTCATATCTGCATTAAGGAATGGGTTATCTCCAATGCTATATATAAAAAAATAATGACTATACAAATAAAATTTTATTGGGACATACTTCAGTGGAGGAATAGTCCGATTTTCAGCGGGACTGAGGCCATTCAGTAGTGCCTTTCTTGAGTGAATTATGAAATGCCTAGTAGGTGACAGAGAAGAGACCTTGTAAATGAAATCACCTGACAAACAGCAAAAGTGCCAAATAAAGATCAATACGTAATCTCAACAACCAAGGGCACAAATATTTTGAAGAAATAATAATCCCACATAGAGTAAGGGTTTTTAAATTATACCAACAATAACAATAAGCTTTTAGGACAATTTTTTACATACAAAGTTCCCATGTTATTATGCCCAATCCCACATTCTAAGAAGTACAAAACCAGCATCTAAGATTTGAGTGTCATTTGCTATATAAACTACAGTTATATAATGCTTTTCAAAAGAAAGTTTATATGAAGAAAAAATGGGAATGGAAAGTCGTGGTCAGTGTCCTATAGTCAATAATCCAGATATCCTCAAAAATATTACAAGATGCACACAAAAATTGAGACCAGATATCCTTATAAGTTACAGCTAAATAACAAGAAGCGCCAAGATTGTTTTCATCCATATGGAGGAGTGGACAACAATTAAGGAAAAAATATTTTCCACGACTCTTTTTAAAACCACATCTCACCACATTTCCTCATACAGAATCACACTCCCCAAATGCCACCTGTGCCTGCATCATATTATACTACAGCTCATTAAGAGTTAATATTTTCAAATACTCCCGTCATGTCCTCCTAGCATTCATGGGTCTAACAACTTATAAGTCCTAGCTAAGGCTTGTGGTAAAATGTCGGTAAGAAAGGGCCTTACATAGTTCATTGTATGAATCATGATCATCTACGCCGATTCGACATTTGACACTGACAGGTACATTTGTATTGGCAGCTATTACTGAAACAGCCTCGGCAACAAACTTTCCTTGTATGCATTAGAGTTCTCTATTAATGCACAATGATGAAGAAAACATAAATCTCTTTGCATGTAATATTTAACCATGGGTAGTTTTCTAACCTTTGGCTCAAGCATGAGACGCGCACCAAAGCACCCACGTCCAGCTACTCTAGGACTAGGGCATCCGCAACTGGTATACATTGAAAAATATATAAAGGGATCTGTCAAATATCAATACAACAAAGATATTTCCAAACTTAAGATGGTAGTTAACAAACTAACTTGAAGTTGATCTCATCATAGCCGTAAGCATCAGCGAGTTCAGTTGCTTTCGCCAAATTCTCTAAATTACTGCCTCCGATTTGAAGCACAATAGGATGTTGGTCTGGAGAAAATGACAAGAATCTGTCCTGAGCATAAGAAACAAAAATAATCAATTGTTTATCACAAACAACTCATCCCAAAGCAACGGTTTTGTATACCACCTCATAAATTTCTCCTCTTACACTGCACACGCACATACCCAAAGCAAGGAGCGCACAATTATGTATTAGATTTAGAATTACCTAGCATGAGAATACAATTTTTCCTACACTTTTCTCAGTTTGAAATCCCACCCTTTCTCAAACTATCCCTCTCATTCTCACTGTAAATCTTCTTTTTACACATGAGATACTACTACAAGATCTTTCTTTTCACATGTGATACTACTATTAACTAACTGAAGCTTGCAAACAATAAGCCTCCACCTAACATCTTGAACTTATAGGAGATTCAAACTTCAACAAATTGCAACCACAAATCTCATTATCCACACAACTCCTAAGTTTTTTTTACATATTCTTTGTTTTATGTTTACAAGCAGAATTATCTGGAGCACCGACACCTCTGGAAAAAAACGTGTCTCTGTGTCAATGTTTGTGTCTGAAACCGACACTTATGATTACGTTTAATATATTCATTTTTCAAAAAATTATTACCAGTATCACGTACGAGTGTAGTGTTTCCAATGTCCGTGCTTCATATTATGATTATAAACTTACCAGATTACCCTTTTGATAAACAATAGTTTCAGCGGCAAGCATCTCGGTATATAACCAAGCATGTTTTGAAATGAGGCGTGCAAGAGTTCTATAATGATTATCTGTCCAATCCATCATCGGAGCAACACTGAAATCCAAGAAACAACAAACCGTATAAAATCAGAACACCATACCTATCTATAGATATCAGAACCAAAAGTAAAGAGAGAGATGAAAAACAAAAGAAAGCATTATACCTAAACCAAGGAGGAAAGTAGTGATTTGCAACCATTGAAGTTACAGATAACAACCCTAACCTGCACAAATTTTTCTAAGATGTATGAAATTTTCATCAATTTGGGAGACGATAATTGAAGAGAAATTAGGTTAAGGAGGGAGCGCGGCGGACTTACTCGGAATCCATGACAGACCAAGATGTCACTTCGAATTAACTTAATATTATTTTCAGTAATTTTAGTGACAATGTATGTTGATTACATTCTTTACTAAACTTTATTACCCTTTTAAATGGAAGTTGTTTGATTCATTTACCATCATGACAAAACTGCAACATTTCCTTAACACCATGAAGCTACACTTGATGGGGAAATTAATCAATATTTCAAATACAACATTTGAATAAAATCACATAATGATAATCGATTTTCAATGAAATTTTAAACAAAAACATGACTTAAGGAATTTGTCAAACACTTGATGTACAATCAATTCAAATTAGATTTTCTTTGATTTTGCTGGTATGAAAACTCAATTGCAATGGGTATGTCTACCCCCAATTCCAATGGAATTGAGATAATTAAAATTAACATTTGCAAATGTTGTTTAAAAGAGAAAAAGTAGTAATCCAACCGTTTAAACCCTATGTCTGATGTTGATCATATTTTCCTCTCTTCCCTTGATCTTGAGCTCGATCGAGTAACCCAATACTTCCAATTTGATCATTCGGTTACTGTTACTCCTTTGACATAAACACTTTTCTTCAAAGTTTTCACTCGGCTGAATCCGGATTGCAAACTATTGTGATCCAACATCACCAAAATGATCATCCGGTTACTATTACTCCTTTGAGAGAAACATCTTTCTTCAAGGCTTTCACTCGACTGAATCCAATTTGAGAAATATTGTGAGAAACTCCCAAGTCAACTTTTGTATTGGAAGAAAATCCCAAATGGATTTATCTTGAAACCCCCCAAATAATTTTCAACCCAATTGATTACAACCAACCTAATTAAACCTTATCAAACTATCTTAAGATCACACAGCAAAAATGATTATGTGTAGTTGTTGTACGTGTGCAATGAGAGAGGATGAAGATGATGAAAAATTATGTGTTTATTTTTGGTTTGAATCAATAGAAATGATACATGAATGCCTTTGTATGTGTGTGTAAAAGAATGAAACTGAAAAATCAGAAATGCAAAATTACAATTTTGGACATTTTAAACATGGGGAGTCGACTTATTTGAGAAGGGAGTCGACTCATACGAGCTGAGGAGTCAACCCATGCTGCTTGGGAGTCTACTCTAAATGGACAGAAAAAAATAGAAGAAAAATAGCTTCAGGAGGAGTCGACCCATAACTCGAGGGAGTCGACCCATTAATGATGTGTGTCGATTCATAAGGCCATATGCATCGACTCAACTTGGGTCGAGATTTTGATTCAAAATTGCTTTTAGTGGGAGTCGACCCACAACTCGAGTAAGTCGACCCATTTCTGTTATGTGTCAACTTCAGATGCCAGTTGTTGTACCCCAAAATTTGCCCTCTCATTTTACTCAACACATGCCCATTGAGGTCCCCAACTCACCTTAGGATGACTAAGAATTGACCAGACAAATTCTCCTCCTAAGGCAATAAACCTTAAACTAGGGTTTCAATTTTCATCAAGATGGTTGAGCTCCAAGGGTCTCAAATATTTTCCATGGCCCTAATATGTCCTCAAGATCATCCATGCCAAATTTCATGGTTTGCCCAACAAGTTTGCTCAGCCAACTACTCAAGTGCCTGAAAATCAACTATACTAGGTTAAAAGTCAATTGTGGCCTATATACTGTCAAACTTCAAGATTTTTGGTCAATATCAACATTTTGAAGTAATATCCATCATTTTATCAAGGTTTGATCATGATTCCTTAAGAAATGCTCTTAATTCATCAAAAGTCAAAAATGGCAAATTAGGGTTTTTATAGGAAAAGTCAACCAAACTTTGACCATGCATAACTTTCTCATATTTTATCAGAAATTTTCCCATCAAAACTCATTTTGAAGAGAATCCAATTCCCTACAACTTCTCTTCAGCCCCCAAGTTCAAGAAATGCTCCAGTTAAAAGATACAAGCTCATACATTATAGGTCCTTTCAAAAAGTCAACAAAAACACCATTTGGGTCAAAGCTCCTTACATGAACATGGAAGATCCAATTGAAATGAACCAAAAGGGTTGTTTATAGGACATCCTAAGATCTCTAAAAATTCCAAGAACACCCTCTTAGGGTTAAAAATGAGAGAGATGTGCATTGCTAAAGTTGACCAATTTTTGGAAAAGCGCATGAAGCCAAATATTGACCAAACTTGAATTTTTCCAAATGGGCCCATATTTTCATGCTTGAAACTTGTTTCTGACATGGCACACGGCCTTTGAGCTCATTCATACATTATTTTATTATTTATACTATTTATTTTGATATTTTATCCATTAAAATGTAAAATTAAATAAATAAATAAAAGAAATAATGGAAGATATGATTTGGAATCTTTTTCTCATCAAATATGGACAAAATATGTTGGCATATCAAGGGGAGCTCGTGGGGAAAAGAAAGATTGGATTTGTTCTAAAAAAGCAAAAAAAATCACATAATTAAAAGAATATTTTTTCTCATCAAAGCATGGATCTTTTCCACATTTGTTAACCTAATGTGATTCACTACATATACAAAAACTATCCAGACCTAGGGCATACACGCAACTGCCTCCATAAACCCTGAAATCTTTTCCAAATATTCAAAGAAAAAGTGAAACTCGTATCAAACAATCTCAACCATTTTCAAGGTAAACTAAGCACTCCATCATACTCCTGAAGGTCCCAGGAGTCCATCCCTGTCAATCTCCAGGCTTGTAATACTCCCAAACGCCCAGACCATACATCATCGGATTGGTATTTTTCTTGAATTCAAAAATATTACATACTCTAATATAAATCATTTTTATGTTCATATCCATGTTTGCACTAATGATTGTGAATGTTTAGAGCCATCGCATGGTTAGTTTGACGCAGGGATGAAGCTTTGCCATTGTTAGGGCAAAGCTTAAGACGAGCTTCGTATCTCCCTGTACAGTGACTTTCATACCAAACGAACACCACCACTGGATTCGCAACCTATGATTTAGGGGGGTAGGTCAAATTTCTGAATCGGAAACGTGTTATTTTATAGGTTAGGGTTTTGAAGGCGCCGGAGACGATGGTGGTCAACCACCGTGAGGGGGGGTTTGACCCTCCCTGCGCTGGCATGGCTGGACAGCATCCCTTGATTGGTTCATTCAAACTTCAGGGTCCCACTAAAGATGCGCGCGTTGACAACTCAGCAATAATGTTGATTTAATATTATATTGTTTTGTTTTGATTATATTAACGAATGAACAACATGGTTCAGTGGCAAGAACAAAGGGTGTTAAGGCATTATGTGTGTGGGAGGTCAGGGGTTCGACCATTTCCTCCTGTATATTATTTTTCTGATTTGTGCATGCAGATCCAGTGCTTTAAGCTCCAGCATGCAGACCATGTGTCCTCAAACTCACACCATCAGATCTCAGTGGTTTAGATCCAACGCCTCCGAGCCTGCAGCTCCATGGTGGACCTTCCAGATGCAGCAACCCTGGATTACACGCATGAGTGGTCCAACAGATATGGGCCCTAACAAAAATTCAGTCAACACCCCCCAATTTGGTTTCTCACTCCAGGCCCATTTCTTTTTTTTTAATTCTCTTTAGTTTCTTTTTTAATTAGTTTACATTTTTTAAATTTATTTTATTTTAAACATAAAATCATCAAAAATCACAAAAAAATAGGTTTAGGTTTTTTCAATTAAAATTAATTCTTGCAAATTAACTTAATTTAATTTATTATTAACTTGTTTTCTTTAATTTAAATTAATTAGAAATTAGGTTAAATCTCAATTTTTTTCATAAAATAACAACAACAAAAAATTTAATAAGCAATTAGATTTTCAGGGTTTCAAACGTGTTCCTGCCTTAATCTCCGTGCGCTTATTATTTTCCGTTTTAATTATGTAACTGTGTCCGGTTTGTAATAGCCTAATTAGGGTTTTAATTTATGCACTTTACATTCTCAGTCAAATATAACTGTAACTGCCCTGAAGCCTTGTAATAGTTGTATGTTTTACTTTCCGCACTATATTATATGCCTGTATATAAACTGCTAGTAAATTAGGCGTGTATGATAAGAACTAATCAATCAATCTTAGATCACTAATATCAAGATGAAAATACCTGAAAAAAGCACATTGTTGCACACTCTCACTCCTAGGGTATTTCCCATTTTGGTTGCCTTCGGAAATGGTCATGCCCCTCGAACGTAGGGATACCTTAGCAAAGACCCCTCATCTAAAAGTCATCATAAAGATCATAGTCCCTCAATGTCCCTCGAGTTTCCTACGAGAAATGATCTTGTCCCTCAATGTTGCCTACGAATATATGATGACAGTCCCTTCGAACTGTTAAGGTATCTCTACATGTTGCCTTCAATGACCATAAACGTCTCTTTTGATAGTCCCTCAACATCCAACGATAGGGATACCTACTCATTAATAATAGGATAGCACTATCTAAATGAAAGGAGGAAAATAACACCTTTTTCGAGTAGGTAGATAGTTGTTAAGTACTTGCTCAAATCTAATTCATTTTCACACCACACTTTCAAAATTCTTTTCAAAAAATACTTTATCACACTCTTGAGGACTGATACAAGAGTTATCATAAAGCAAATAAATTTTTTCAAAACACACAAACACGAAAACAGTTTTCAAAATGAGCAAGTACCTAAGAGCCCATAGAAAACTACGGATGGAAAGGGTGCTAACACCTTCCTTTTCCATAATCTACCCCCCTTACTCAGAAAACTCTCGAAAGGTCTTTTTCTGTTCTTTTCACCATTTCCTTTGTTGGATAAAAGAAAAGTCGGTGGCGACTCTTGCTTACCGCACATTTGCGAATACAAATGCAAAACCAGTATAACAGTCGGTTCTGCCACCGTATCATAGAATAGGCGACTCTGTTGGGGAAAATGAAGAAAAAATGGGGTTTACCTTAGGGTCTCTAGTTCATTTCTAATATGTTTTCTTTGTTTGTTTTGATTGCTTTATGTTTAAGGGTATTGTTTGGGTTACTATAGATCCTACACCCGGATCCGGGGAAACATTTTAGGTAAGTAGCAATAGATCGTAGAAATTATGTGGGTTATACTGACACGGTTGAAGCGATAGCTACGTTGATGTGACACTTTGGTGGGTACCGGTAGCCCTTGAGTTAATCAAGGAGAATACGGGGCCGCTGTGTGATGTCATGAAGCGTCAACTGGCCTTAGAACCTTAATTGAACAACTTGGCTATTAGAACATAGTGAAACAGCCGTCTTTAGTGTATCCCCAAAGTCGGTTGATACTCGATGCTACACTCATTGAGATTTGACTCCCGAGTTTTGTTTGGTGGCAAGTCAGTTGTCTATCAGAACGAAACTTGTGGGAAAGATCAGTGATATTGAGATCCCTTAGAACTCGGTTACTATGTATAGGACAGGTTGAACCAATCAAAAATTCAAGAGGATATTACCTTAAAACCCATGCAAGCCTTAAACCTAAGATCTTTGTATGATTTGCTTATGCTTGCCATATCTGTGATTTCTTAGCATAATCATGACATCATAACATGGCATATCATACTAACCATTTCAAGGATTTTATAGGGCTTATCTTTGTCTGGTTTTGTAGTACACGGCATCCGCTCGCAGAAACACTATTCAAGTCAACCCTGTGAGGGTACCTCCTCAACTCAAGAAATTAGCATCAAGGATTCCTGAAAGCTCTCCCTTCACTAAAATACATGGTCGACTTCTCAACCTGGTCACTTCAAACCTTGATAAAGAAATGATAAAGGTGCTCTTTCAACCCAATTGATTACAACTAACCTAATTAAACCTTATCAAACTATCTCAATATCACACAACAAAAATGATTATGTGTAGTTGTTGTACGTATGCAATGAGAGAGGATGAAGATGATGAAAAATTATGTGTTTATTTTTTGATTGAATCAATAGAAATGATGCATGAATGCCTTTATATGTGTGTGTAAAAGAATGAAACTGAAAAATCAGAAATGCAAAATTACAATTTTGGACATTTTAAACAGGGGGAGTCGACTTATTTGTGAAGGGAGTCGACTCATAGGAGTTGGGGAGTCGACCCATGCTACTTGGGAGTCTACTCTAAATGGACAGAAAAAATAGAAGAAAAATAGCTTCAGGAGGAGTCAACCCATAACTCGAGGGAGTCGGCCCATTAATGATGTGTGTTGATTCATAAGGCCATATGTATCGACTCAACTTGGGTCGAGATTTTGATTCAAAATTGCTTTTAGTGGGAGTCGACCCACAACTCGAGTAAGTCGACACATTTGTGTTATGTGTCGACTTCAGATGCAAGTGTATCGATCCATTCACAACATAGAATTTTGTTTTCATTTTTCTTCAGAGGGAGTTGACTCCTAATATGGATGTGTCCACTTCTAACATAGTTTTTCATGAAAAATCATATTTTTGACATATATCCAAATGTTTTTGACTTAGTATATCAGTGTCCTAAGATGAATATACAACCCTAGACATAGATATAAAAGGTTCAATGTATAAATATTAGTACTACCTAGTTTTGACATCATTCAAAACATCTAAGAAGATAATAATGCACTCACATACTCTCCTTTTTTGATGATGGTAAAACGTACGACGTATATGGGGTCTTTGATCATATCTCCCTCTATATGTGCATTTCCTCTTTAATATTTGCAAATAGACTTTGATCTTTGCATGGTTTTTCCCCATTTGACAAGATCAAAAAGAGAAAAGACCACAAAACATAAGAAGCATCAAATAAAATACACAAACACATGTATACCATTTAGAGGTGTTGCAAAGATAAATGGATCAATGATAACAACACTCACATATAATGAAGTTAAAGTGAAAATGCATAAACATAAGTAAACCGCAATGCATTTAAAATCAAAAGTAGTTTATTACAAACATACTACAAGATTTTGAAACAAGAATTGCAATAAAGACAAACATGAAAATGTTGTATTTCATGCAAGAGAGATACATAACATTCCCAAGCATAATATCATCAAAATTAATTCAAATGTGAATAATTTATATCATGTAATACATATGATGATGAAATACAAATGATTAAAACATGGTGTTACCACTACAACAAATAACGCATTTCATAACAAAGCTTTCACGTCATCCATAAGAAACAACAAGGTATTAAGCCTAAGTGCGCCGTGTTTTATATTTTTTAATTATAAAAATAACAATTTATCTTGGTTTCTAATATATCCGACGGGTAAAACTAATATGGGCGCGCTTCGAGTCCAAACTTTTGTAGTTTATGTTTTATTTTGATTATAATTGTAAACTAAAACAACTAACCCTTCGGTTTTTCGATATAACCGAGGGAACAACTAATCAGATTTCACTATAAAAGCAAAAATATTTTACCTTAATCCTTACTTATTTGTAGCCTCCCCAAACTCACAAGCATCATTCCTTGGGATGGATTGCAAGACTGAGAAAACCTTCAATATTCTTATAGAATAAAACGTTTTTTTCTGCCCTTGAAATCTATCTCATATAACGATGTTGATGTTTTTGTTAGTGTTGTTGTTGTATTTTTTTCTCATTTGATAAATTGCAAGTGCAGAAAAATCATTCTTGATTCAAGGGGACAATGAAGAAAGTTCTCTTCTCTTTTTAAAAGTTACACAATGAAAGGAGCTTAACTAATCGAATGATAGATATCATCAAAGATATTCATTCAAAAGAGTAAATATTTATTTTAAACTATTTATTTTAATATTTTGTGTAAACAATATAAATTAAAAAAAACTTTTCATCTCGGTTTTAAAAAAAACAGGTGATAGTTATAATCAGAAAATTTTATACCTCGGTTTTATGATAAAGCCGAGGGGTAAAGTTATCTGATTTTATTATAAATACATTTGTTAAATAGATTTTACCCTAATTCTAACTAATATGTAGTCACAGGTGATAGAGGAAATATTTACCACTGTCTATTGCCATGCAAAATTTTGATCTAGAATCGCTTAAGAACATATATCTAAGATAGATTGCAAGTGCATAAAATAAAATAACTTATCTGAAATTGGATAAGTTATTGAGTGCTTTTTGGATATGCAACATAAAGATATGCAACGAAATTTAGATTCCATCAAAGATTTGTTGTTGAAAATAGTTTCTCCTTTGATTTTGTCTACTAAATTCAGGTATGCTACCAAATTCCTTCTCTAGAACATTCAGCGTTCATACTTTAAGAATAATGATGATTGATGATTGTGTGTGGTTTACTATTAATTTGTAGGACTGGGTTGAATAAATGCTATATGTTTGTTAATTTCACTAAGTCTAAGTCGGAAGTGGGAATTTGTTGTAATATTGTGTTTTAATATTCTTTGTAAACAATGTAACTTATATATATATATATATATATATATATATATATATATATATATATATATATATTGCACTTCCTTAATCAAATTCTTATCGTCCTTAAAAATGATGAGATATTTTAGCGTTAAAGTTGAGGATATTTGTCATCGTCCTTAATCAAATTCTTATCGTCTATTTCATGACTATCAATGCTCAATAAACTATCATTAGTGATCCGCGTGAAACCTAGATTAACTTCCATTATAAAAGCATTATGAATATAAAAAATTGATAATGAAACATCATGAAACGCTTGAAACTATCCTCCACTTTAAAATATACAAGAGTCTTTGTCATGAAGAGTTCTCTATGATGGATTGCAAGAGCAGAAAATTATTTGGATTTAAGGTTTGTGTACTTAAATATTTAATTGAGAACACTACGCCAAAAACTGCTTTTGCCAGCGCCTCTACTAAAGCGCTTATTGAAAAAGCGCTGCCATAGCCTTCACAAAAAACAAAATTAAAAAAAAGGTAAACCTACGAAGGCGCTTTTTTAAAAGCGCTGGCATAGGTGGGGGATACGAAAGCGCTTATTGAAAAAGCGCTGCCATAGCCTTCACAAAAAACAAAATTAAAAAAAAGGGAAACCTACGAAGGCGCTTTTTTAAAAGCGCTGGCATAGGTGGGGGATACGAAAGCGCTTTTTTAAAAGCGCTGGCATAGGTGGGGGATATGAAGGCGCTTTTTAACAAGCGCTGGCATAGGTGGGGGATACGAAAGCGCTTTTATAAAAGCGCTGGCATAGGTGGGGGATATGAAGGCGCTTTTTAAAAAGCGCTGGCATAGGGGGGGATACGAAAGCGCTTGTTTAAAAGCGCTGGCATAGGTTAGTTAAATAATTTCTAAACCCCTAAATTTACAATCAGATTTCTAAACCCAGCTGATACAAAAAACGAAACCCAGTTGTTCATCTTCTTCTCCATTCGTCTGCTCCTATTCAAGCTCTCTTCATCCTTCGTCGTCCTCACTTTCATAACAACCTATTCAAGCTCTCTTCATCCTTCGTCGTCCTCTCTTCATCAAACTGTAATTTACATTCAGGTGTTGTTTCTTTCCCATTCAATTTCATCTCAACATTGATTCATCATCACCCACTCTAACTACTTTACTTTATTACATTAATTAGGGTTTCGTTCTCAAAGTTTCTTGTTATTACAAAACCCTTCAACAGTTAGCAAGAACGAAACCCAAGGGATTTTGAAGGTTGGCTGTTACTTGTTAGAGGAAAGATCTAAAAGTTCATTTCACTTTTTCCATTTCTTTGGTTTGAGGTAAGAATTCTTACTCATTTTTCTTAGTTTTAGATATTGCATATTAACTGTTTGTGAAATGTTCTACATGATTGTTCCTAATTAAGGGTATGTTAGAGGGTTAGGAAAATGAAGTTGGATTTACGGGTCCTAATTTTAGGTGTATACTAGCTTAAAATTCACAAGTACTTAAGTTGTTGGTGTTCATTTGTGTTTTTCCCTCTTTTAGATGATTTGTGTGTGATTAATCGTTAATAGACATTCATATATTGTCAGTCATCGATAGTAAAAATGTCAAAGGCAACACTTAGTACGGATCCGGTAAAAAAAGTCTGGGAAGAACGATGTTGGAATTTGGTATTTGTATTGTAATAGATTGTAGAACAGATAAAAGGAGTCGGATAGTAGTGTTACGTTATCGAAACTGAATAAAAGATGCACCTATCAACTGTGAGATTTGTGCAAAGAAGAGAAGCAATATTTTCAAACTTTATGGACTGTACTAAGAGGGTGTGAGTTATGCTTGGAGATACTTCAAGTGGGATTATAAATTTCTAATCCTATCTACACTGTAGACAAAAGAATTAATCACACAAAGGAAATTATAACATTACTACTAAAAAAGTTATAGCTAAGAAAATGTTTTAATAGGCTTGTATATTTTGCATATAAGTCTTACTGAGATTTTTATCTCATTAGTTTAAGTTTATATTTCAGCTTAAGTGCTTAACAGGACAGATAGATTACATATAGATTACATGTGGTTTTCACAGAATGATGCTCCATAAATTTTTCACAGAATGATGGCATGGTACAAGACTATTGAGTTAGGGAACCATCTGGGATTGGGCAGGGAAGGAATGTTAATGAGTATAATACTAGGTGAGGGATAAGATGAGGATAAGAGGGATAGAGATAAACCTAATGATGAGTTTCATATGATTGTCTAGGTTGTAAATTTGGAAATCTATAAGGAGAAATGATTAGATGCAGTGGAATTAACATAAGGGGATCATTGAGATGTGAAATCTTATCCTACACGCAATATTAAGGAAAATCATATAGACCATAATTAGAGTTTACAAAACATTTGTTTACTCAGTTACAGCAACCAAACTTTCATAACCCCTGATTATTACTCAAACAATAGTGAAATTATGTCACCTTCAGGCATCAAACTTGTTTCTTGAAGTTAAATGATTAAGCAGCAGAGCAGGGTATCAACAAACATGATATAAGAACAGATATAATTAGGGTTAAGCTTTGTTGAAGAAAGAATATGACTAAAGTAGGCGGTGCCAAAAGCTTCAACCCAAGTAGTTATAAAAAGATTTTATATTTATCATAAATCTCATTGACAAAATCTTCACTTAGAAAAAAAAATGCATACAACAAAAGTTTCAATTAAGTCTGAAGGAGTATGAACAAAGTGAACACACCCTTGAGATTATTGTTGTTCCAGAATAACCAAGCTTAGAAACACTACATGTCCAAAAGCTGTTCTCATAGCCATCTAGCAGTCGCTGTTTTATTTCCTCGATATCCTTCTCCTGTTAGCAAAACCAGAGCACTCATAAATTGGAGAGAAAATAGCCTCTAAAGAATTTTCAAATAAACACAAACGTCATGGTTGATAGATTTTATCAGGCAGCAAGACTGTCAGAAGTAGCTTCTCCCAATTTATTCTTTCTACCTGAAGTTTAGTCTCTTGCAAGCACAATACATCGAAGTCTTCCCTTTGAGCAAGTTGAAGTGCTGAGAATCCCTCTAATTTTAGCAATGCTCTCAATCCATTGACATTCCAAGACAAAAGCTTGACAAATTTTGTATCCCTAGAAAGAGGCAGGGGTCTCATGGTTCTAGGATTATATGCAATCCAATCCTTTTGAGGTTTCTTGTGAGCAAGAACAGCCCATGTTTCAGTTTGAATAGTGGTTGTTGTACTGATTTCATCTGATTGTGCTACAATGCTAACAACATCTGAAGACACTTTTCTCTTCGCCCTAGAAGGCTTAACATCTGACAAAAACAGCCATAGACGATTAATTTAATCACTACATGAATTACACTTGAACAAAAATTGACAAGCCATGAGACCAATAGAGAGAGACAAAGAATTATGCTAAATATTTCAGAATAGAAAGTTTAGAACACAACCTGAAACCTCGTCTGATTTAACCAACAGCTTCTTTTTGGTTGTCGCTTTGACAATTTTTCTTTCAGGTTCTGATTGTTTAAACCTTTTCTTACCCTGGTTAAGTTCAACTGTCTCTGGAGTATCATTAACATCATCGACAGTCATGGTGTCTACAATAGACGGATCATTTCTTAACATTTCAACCTCAATGGAATAGCTATCAACATCATTTTCCTATATTATCAAACATATAGTGAATAATCAAAAAGAAATAGAGACAAAAATGAGAGTATGAATGAAACATGAATCAGACCTTAACAATAACATGGTTAGAAATGGGTTGTTGTGAACTTGAAAAGGGTGTTTTCAGTCTTTTAGACCCCATTGGTTTCACAGGTATAGAACTCTTGGAACTGAAACGCTTCTGAATACTACAAAACTACAACATTATTACTCAGTTACAGCAACCAAACATTTATTCCCGAGAAAAAAAAACAAATGTATATAACCCCTGATTATTACTCAGTTACAGCAACCAAACATTTTATATTTTCAAAACATTATTACTCAGTTACAGCAACCAAACTTTCATAACCCCTGATTATTACAAAACATCTTTCATACTTTAAGGCTTGAACTTCCTGTATGGTCTGCCGTTATCTTCATCTTACATATGCTGTAATCATAAATTAAAAAAGTCATGTCTAGGTGCAAAGAAAATCAAGATGAATTGAAAACTATAGAGCGTCATTTAACAATTAACAATACATTGCTTTTAAAATTTGATTTGAACCTAACTAAGACTTGACAAAGCTAACTTGTAAGATAAGGACTGAATATAATTGTTTGAAATCCGACTTCACTATTGTTTGAATATAATTGTTATTACCTGTATCCAAGACTGAATCACTAGTATCCGACTTCACTAGTTAGTAATTAGTGATGAGTTGTTTAGCACATGCTTAAGGTGAGGCAAGAATAACTATGAATTTGATTACCTGATATGTTGAATTTCTTTACAGGTAATTAATTATTATTTTGCTATAGTTGCGTGACTAATTAGTTGCTATAGTCAAACCATGGATAAAAAATGGATGACTGCCAATCGATTGTCGAAAGAGTATGAGGATGGGGTATCAGAATTCGTTAAGTTTGCCGTTGCGCACGCCAGAGAACCCAATGGAATGATATGTCCTTGCTTGAGATGCTGTTATGGGAGACGGGTTGACGCGGTTCAGTTGGAATCGCATTTACTGATGCATGGAATTGATAGAAGTTATACATGTTGGACAATGCATGGTGAGAAAAGTACCGGGAATGCTGAGTCGAGTTGTAATAGGAAGTATGCTTCAAACGACGATTGCACAGACACATACGATTGTGATCGAGTCGAAGAGATTGCAGAAGCGCTTGAAGAAGATCTTGCGGATTGTCCCAAAATGTTTGAGAGGTTGGTAAGCGATGCAGAGAAACCGTTGTATGTTGGTTGTTCAAAATTCACAAGATTGTCTGCGGTGTTAAAGTTGTACAACTTAAAGGCGGACAATGGATGGTCGGATAAAAGTTTCACAGAGTTATTAGCCCTTATGAAAGATATGCTACCAGAGGATAATGTTCTTCCCAATCGAACGTATGAAGCCAAAAAGATGTTGTCTTCTATTGGAATGAGCTATGATAAGATACATGCATGTCCAAACGATTGCGTTTTGTTTCGAAACGAGTATGCAGCGTTGAATGAGTGTCCTAAATGTGGTGCCCCTCGATATAAGAAAAAGTTGTCTCCTACTAAAGTCTTATGGTATTTTCCTATAATTCCGAGATTTAGACGCATGTATCGTAGTGAGACCGATTCAAGACACTTGACTTGGCATGCAGATGAAAGAATTATTGATGGAAAGTTGCGACATCCGGCAGACTCACCACAATGGAGTAAAGTTGATACTGAATATCCTGAATTTGGAAAAGAAGCAAGAAACCTTCGGTTGTCATTGTCTACTGATGGAATGAACCCGCATGGTATTCAAAGTATCTCGCATAGCACATGGCCTGTGATTCTTATGATTTATAACTTACCTCCGTGGCTATGTATGAAGCGTAAGTACATGATGTTATCTATGCTAATTTCTGGGCCTAAACAACCAGGGAATGACATAGACGTATACTTGGCACCCTTAATCGAAGATTTAAAGTTTTTGTGGGAGAGAGGTGTGGAGGTTTACGATGGGTATAGGAAAGAAAGTTTCAACTTGAGGGCGATGTTGTTTGGAACAATTAATGATTTTCCAGCATACGGAAATCTATCCGGGTACAGCAACAAGGGTCAAAAGGCGTGTCCTGTTTGTGAAGATGAAACCGATACGACATGATTGGCGCTTTGTCAGAAGAATGTCTTTCTCGGCCATCGTAGATTCTTAAATTCTAATCATCACTACCGTGGGTGGAGAAAAGCATTCAATGGAGAGGCCGAACATCGTACAGCCCCGCCTTTTTTGTCAGGTGATCAAATTTTTGAAAAGGTGAAAGATGTGAGCACTCAGTTTGGCAAGCCTTTTGCACATTCAATTGTCAAGGGTGGGTGGAAGAAGAAGTCAATTTTCTTTGAACTTCCATATTGGAAGTCGTTGTACGTAAGACATTTCCTGGATGTTATGCATATTGAAAAAAATGTATTTGACAGCGTTATAGGTACGCTACTCAATATACAAGGAAAGTCTAAGGATGGCGTTAACATAAGGAATGACATGGTAAACATGGGGATGAGAACTGAATTGGGGCCCGTGACGAAAGGAAGACGAACATATCTGCCACCTGCTGTTTACACTCTATCTAGAAAGGAGAAGAAAACATTGTGTAAGTTCCTCAGTGAAGTAAAAGTTCCAGAAGGCTACTCTTCAGATATTAGAAGACTTGTGTCCATGAAAGACCTCAAGTTAAAGAGTTTGAAGACGCATGATTGCCATGTTATAATGGAACATTTTTTACCAATAGGTATACGTTCTATTCTGCCAGAAAAAGTAAGAAGCGCAATAACTAAGCTGTGTTTCTTCTTCAGGTCTATTTGCAGTAAGGTGGTCGATCCCGCGATCTTACCAACATTGCAAAATGAGATAGTTGTTACTTTATGTGATCTTGAAATGTATTTTCCTCCCTCGTTTTTTGACATAATGGTTCATCTAGTCGTTCATCTTGTGAAAGAGACACAACTGTGCGGACCAGCTTATATGAGATGGATGTACCCTGCTGAACGTTATATGAAAATATTAAAAGGGTACGTGAAAAACAGAAGTCGACCAGAGGGTTGTATTGCCGAGCGATACGTTGCTGAAGAAGCGGTTGAGTTTTGTACTGAATATCTGTCAAATGTTCAATCAATTGGACTCCCCAAATCTCATATTGTCGGAAAAAAAGAAGGAAAAAGGCTAATTGGAAATAAAGTTGTGACAGTATCAATGGTCGAACGGGATCAAGTGCACTTGTATGTTCTGCACAATGAGATTGAGGTTGAGTCGTTTGTTGAAATGCACAAAGTTGTTCTCCGAGATTTAAATCCAAATAGAAATGAGAACTGGATAGTACGAGAGCACAATCGAAGTTTCATACCGTGGTTTAGAGATCATATTTATTCAAAGTATCGTTCAGATCCTGCTTCAGTAACAGAAAGGTTGAGATGTTTAGCCTATGGTCCATCTGTAATTGTGCTTTCTTATAGCGCATACGCAATTAATGGATACAAATTTTATACCAAAGAACAGGATGATAAAAGTACTATGCAAAATAGTGGTGTTACCTTGGTAGCTGAAGCTATGCACATATCAAGTGCGAATGACTTAAATCCGAAATTTGCAAATTTGTCATATTTTGGGGTTATCGAGCGCATTTTGGTGTTTGATTACGCGAAGTTTCAGATTCCTGTATTTGGTTGCAAGTGGGTTGAAAATAATAGTGGCGTACGAATGGATAAGTCAGGATTTTTGCAAGTGGATCTCAATAGGGTAGGGTACAAAGATGAGCCTTTCATTCTAGCCTCTCAAGCTAAACAAGTGTTCTATGTCAATGATCCGACAAGTACGAAATGGTCTATAGTGCTTTTATCTAACAAAATAGTTGATGAAAAAATTGAAGATCAAGGTGATATTGGTGTTGGCATTGAATCTTGTACAAGAAACGATCAAAATGAGAATGAATCTTGTATTAGAAATGATCATAATGAGGGTATTTGGATCAATCCAACCGTCCGCATTGTTAAGAGACGCGTAGTACACAATCCTACCAAGAAAAGAAAGAGACGTTAGTGATAAAGTAATGGTCTCGATAACCTTCACTCGCTTATGTTTAGTAATGGTCTCATTTTTATATTTTTTAATTATTATATTTAGTAATCTGGCATCGAATATGTGAAAATCTTACAATTTGTACTTTAAAACAATTTGACTAAAAATTAAGATTTATTAAATGAACATGCTTTTAATATTGATAGAGTATGCATCCCCTCATCTTTGCCTAAAAGAAATATCATGAAAAAGTAATATTGATTGTATCACATGCTTTTATTTTATTAATAATAAAAAAGTAAATTTTTTCTACTTAACTTAAATTCTTTTTTAAGAAGGAAAGCATACATTGGGTATGTTTGGCAGATGATGCAGGGATGAATATCTTCACGTTGAACAATTAATAATGGATTGATTTTTTTTCTTCTTATAATAACTTCTATGTTGTAATTTTTTGAAATGTTTCTCATATAAAGTTAGTGTTAATAGTGTACTAATGTGCTTTAGTTTGTTTGATACAGGTTCAATGGCTCCAGATAGAGATGCTCCACCTGAAAACCCACCTGAAAACTCACAAGAAAACTCACAAGAAAGAGTTGCTTCGGATACAAATGCTCCACCTGATACTGAAGCAAAAGAGGTTGCACGAGGCATCACTATTATGAAGGGAATCATTCGACATAGAGACCAAGGATTAGTATACCGATTGGAATGGAATTCTGATAAACAACCAATTGGTCCTAATTCTGCAAAGTTGACAAGTTATATTGGTACACTTGTCCGTATGCATATTCCGGTCTCTGTAGCTACCTGGAAATCGAAAACGAAAAATTTAGAATTGGAGGAGAAAAAACAAGCGATTTGGGAAGAGCTTCAGGTATATATCATATATGGTTAATTGTTGTTATTATCTTGACGATAAATTGTTTAAATTACTTATACTAACACATTATGCGTACGTTTTTTTGCAGAGGACTTTTGAGATACCAGATGAACGTAAAAGCTACATACTTAGTTTGGCCGGCAAAAGATATAGAGGGTGGAAAAGTTTTTTGACAAACACCTATCTTAAGGATAAAGATGGAAAATTTCTTGAAGAGGCACCGGGACGGCCAACAAAGTATGCGACCTTCATTGATGAAGCAGATTGGGCTGAGTTTGTAAAGCAAAGAGATGAAGCTTTTCAGAAAAAGAGTGCCACGAATAGTGAGAGAGCATCCAAACCCGCGTATCCATACAAAAAAGGGCGTTTGGGATATGCACGCTTAGAGGATAAAATTGTAAGTAAATAGAAATGCGTTTTAATTAATTGTCTACATGTGCATGTTTTAATTGACGATTTTATCGTTTGTGTCAATGCATAGTTAGAGGAGACTAAAAGTGAGGAAGCTTCAC